GAGAGAGAAAGAGAAAAAAAAGAGAGAGAGAGAAACAGAACTGAGAGACAAGAGACTTGAAGAGAGGGAGGGAGAGAGAGAGAGAGAAGAAAAGAGAGAGAGAGAGAAGAAAAAAGAGAGAGGGAGAGAAATACATAGAAAGATAGACTGAGACAAAGAACTGAGAGACAATAGAGACGAGCTCTGAGAGAGAAAGAGAGCGAGAGAGAGAGAAAGAGAATGCTAGAATTGAGAGGCAAGAGACTTTAATAATTGGGAGATAGAGACAGACATACAGACAAAGAGACAGAGAGGAAGAGGGGGGAAGAGAGACACAGAGAGGAAGAGGGGGAAAGAGAGACAGAGAGAGAAACAGGGGAAAAGAGAGACACAGAGAGGAAGAGGGGGAAAGAGACACAGAGAGAGAAACGGGGGAAAAGTGACACAAAAGCTGGAACCCATTTCCAAGGGCAGGCCAAGTACCGGAATTGAAAATATTGTGTAATACCTTAGGGGTGGGGGTAGAAGAGGGGGATGGAAGGGGACAAGTATAAGATTTTAGCCATTCCTGGATCTTTGGCAGAACAAATATGAGCTTCTAAAAGAATTTGAGTGCCTATTCATGTGCCGATGAATTTCCTAATTTTTACAAATTTAGTAAAATGTTATGAAATGAATGTAAATACTACGGAGGCAGCAGTTGCCCATAATCTAGGGAGAAATTTGAATTTTTTTCAAAGAAATGTTTGTAAGTTATATTTGTAATTATGCTGCTAGGACATGAGATATTTTATCATTTCATTTTGGCTGTTGCTTCAAGAGTAGAATCACAAATAAGTATACCCATATATGTGAAAAAAGCAGTGCTAAAATCTCCTTAAAAACTTTCTTACAGTATGCAAGGAGTTAATAGAACTACTTGGTTTATGTAACAGCAAATCTAACAATTTTGACCAACTTTTTATTGTAGCCCTAAAGTTCTAAATATTGCTCTTTTTCACACATGTTTTAATAATGTTGGCGACACAAGCCCAGGATATTACTACACAGGCCTGTGCGCTCCACTGAAGTAATAGAGTTTGACATAAATGTGAACATAACAGTGAATGTTCCATGTTCATTCCCTTAGACCTTAGGATCAATGCCAAGATGTTTTAATCCCTTCTGAGTTGTGACTAATTTTTGACTCATTTCATAGATCCTCCCAAATTGACTTTTCAAATCGCAGAACAGCCACGGCTTCATGTCATGACATTGCTTCGGAGCCGGCAAAAAAGCACATCTGTCACAGAAACTGAGCAGAGTCGGTTGTTATTGGAGTATTACCTACTTATCATGACATAATGGTGACATTCATCTCCTGGCATTTGACTTAATCTCATGCCTCGGCAAAGTCACTATCTTTCATTTTACATAGCTATGTTCACGTGGCAACATCGTGGTTTTAAATTCTTAAGTTTGAATCGTTGAAGTTATAAACAATGAAAAGGGTTCACAGAGTCGTTATTGGAGTATTACCTACTTATCATGACATAATGGTGACATTCATCTCCTGGCATTTGACTTAATATCAAGCCTCGCAAAGTCACCATCTTTTACATAGCTATGTTCACATGGAAATATCGTGGTTTTAATTTTTTAAGTTTGCAAAACTAAGAAGTTATAAACAATGATGAGGGTTCACAAAGTTGTCATTGGAGTATTACCTACTTATCATGACATAATGGTGACATTCATCTCTTGACATTTGACTTAATCTTATGCCTCTATCGCAAAGTCACTATCTTTTACATAGCTATGTTCACATGGAAATATCGTGGTTTTAATTTTTTAAGTTTGCAAAACTAAGAAGTTGTAAATAATGATGAGGGTTCACAAAGTTTTATAATAGAAACAGGGAGGGGGTGGGAGGGAGCATTCATTTTAACTAAAAGCTGATATTACCTTCAAAATTAATTGCGTCCACACAGTAAGTAACTTTGAGTGAGGACGACCTGCTGGTCATAGTTATCGTTTTAACCTTAAATTTATAACTTCAAGTAAAGTTTTGTGACCATTGGTGCATTGGCAAGGTCCCTAAATTCAAAGTTTAAAACCATAACCTAAACTTAAAGTTAACAGATTGTTGTGTGAACCTACTAACTATTATCACATAAGACATGAGCTCACATAAGACATTGGCAAAGGTCCCTAACTTCAAAGTTTAAAACCATGACCTAAACTTAAAGTTAACAGATTGTTGTGTGAACCTACTAACTATTATCACATAAGACATGAGCTCACATAAGACATTGGCAAAGGTCCCTAACTTCAAAGTTTAAAACCATGACCTAAACTTAAAGTTAACAGATTGTTGTGTGAACCTACTAACTATTATCACATAAGACATGAGCTCACATAAGACATTGGCAAAGGTCCCTAAATTCAAAGTTTAAAACCATAACCTAAACTTAAAGTTAACAGATTGTTGTGTGAACCTACTAACTATTATCACATAAGACATGAGCTCACATAAGACATTGGCAAAGGTCCCTAACTTCAAAGTTTAAAACCATGACCTAAACTTAAAGTTAACAGATTGTCGTGTGAACCTTTTAACTATTATCTGCTGTTATGGCTGACTTAACTGTAAACATAAATGTGACTTGTGGTTTTAGAAATTAAGTTTATCATGGTCTATTGGATGTGTCACTTGTTTTGGATTGACTGGTTTAGGTTTTTAGTCCCAGCTGCAGCGCAAGTGTGTCCTGTAATCAACCCCTCAAAAAAAGTTTGGAAAAATAAAGTTTGATTGATTAAATCTCTCTTGTTATGGCGTAATCATCACTATGTTTAGTATCATTAGAAAGTGTGTTTATTTCTCTTTAAAATGATACCCCATTTGTTATGATTTTTCAGTCATGGAATGTGCATGACATCAAAATAAGAGGCAAGACCAAAAGTGAAAAGTTGCAAGATGCACTGCTCTTGTTCAGCCGTGCATTCTTCTTTCTTCAGAAAGTGAAGGGCTGTTGTGTAGTGCACTGCATAACAATACTTTTCACTTATGACCTTGCCACTTATTCTGATGTACTGCTCATTCCGTGGCTGCAAAATCATAACAATATGGTATCATTTCAAAGATGAATAAACATACTTTCTAATGATAGTAAACAAAGCAATGATTATCCAATGACAAGAGAAATATAACCGATCAAACTTAGTTTCCATACTTTTATGAGGGGTTTATAAGCTGGCTCCCATGACAGATTGTAGCATTGTAGTTCAGCTCATGGTTTTAAACCTTAAAGTAGTCTAGTAGTTAATCCGTTGACCACTGAATTTATTAATTGCCATAGGCTTAATACAGGGGCCACCAGGTTCCAGGAGGCAATGGATTAAGAACCATACGGATGCACTCATGGTTTCGGGCACTGAAGTTTACTCCACCACTAAGAGTAAGTACCCTTTACTTTAATAGGGCATCCTAAATTTGTTTTTACCCTTTTTAAATGAGAGTAAGGGCACTCTGGGGGCCCATCTGAAGCTCCTTAACTCCCATTACAAAAGGGGTATTACATTAGGCCTGTCGTCATCAGCTGAGTTTGCCAAATAATCAGCTATTTTAACTATCCCGATCGCAAATTAACCAGTTAATTTGCGTCTTCATCAGCCCGCATTTGCAATTAGTGAGTTATTTGTTCGAGAAAACATCCCAACAAATCTTGGTCTTGTTTCCAAAATAGCCCGCTATTTGGGGAAAAGCGGGCTAGCTTGCGCTCGTCCGAGCTACTTTGTGATGAGCATATCGGTCTGGTGAAGATGCAATTTTAAGCTTTAGAAAAATATCCCGAGTCTGAAAATAGCGGGTAACTTTGCAACTTCGGTCTGATGAAAACAGGCCTATGGTCTGATGAAAACAGGCCTATGGTCTGATGAAAACAGGCCTATTGTCTGTTTGGTCCAGAAGGGCATTAGCTCATATACTTTAACACAGAATTATAATGCCTTTATAGCTCTGAATATATAAAATGTGGTTTCCAAGGCAACTGCCTCACTGCTATCTCTCTCAAAAAATGATCTATGACAATTTTTATTCGGAAGGGAAATACATTTTCATACAAGAGGCATTCTACTCATGTGCATTGTAGTAGTGTGTAAGCTTCATAAAAAGAGAAGACCCTGAAACAACCACTGGAGAGTGAATGGCATGAGAAATGAATGAAACCCAGGAAGATGGATGAATGCATAATGTAATTAGAACTACATTACTCCTCATCAGGATGACATTCTCTTGAATAATTCTATGCGCCTGGGTGCGTCATGCCGTAAGGGTCTTCATATCCAGGGACCCCTACCACCCCCCCCCCCCCTCTCCCCCTCCGACATGCAGGTGGTCTTATGAATATCAAATAGCTTTTCACAGAGAACCCCCTCCAAATTCTATCAGGGTGTTTTTAAAGGGTTCCTACACCACGTAGAGAGGTCTGGATAACAGCAGGCTTGCTCATATTAATCTATGCCACTTCCCTACATCTTGAAAGTTTCTTGATCTTTAATTCTTACTTTAAAGGCAAAACAATGAACTATGTAACATATGTAATGATTACATAGGTAATGATTAGTCTCTACAGGTGGTTCTTGCCCATAATTAAGAGAGAGAAATATTTGCTTATGGGAAAAGTCATTCATGCAGTTGGTGTGATTGTGATATAACCGTGGTCATAAAGGAAAATTTGACATTGTTTCAAACACAATATCACCTACATTTGAGTCTTGAATTAGCATAAAATAAATAAAAACCGATGCATAAAAATAAAAACAAAGCTCATGATTTTCAAATGGTTTCAGATCCAGGAGTAAAAGGTTGCTAAAACTTAAGCCAACTTAATGTGATTTTATTCATAAAATTCAAATGTCTCTGACCTTAACATTGTGTGTGTACTATTCCTCATTCACTTAGCTTACAAAATCAAACATTGTATATTTCATCTAAAAATTCATTTGCTTTTCAGTTCTTAGTTTCTTAGCTTCATACTCACCACAAGAAGTTCTGAAGGTTCTAAAATCAAACAGTCTGTTCCTCTTCTTCCGCTCCCTGATGTTCGTTTACCAAAACTATACAAAAGAAAAGAAAATTACATTTTTGAAAGAATACAAATATTAATGTTAAATCTGGGCTTATATAGCACTTAATAGGGAATACCGTCTCTAGGCGTTTTACAGATAGTATCATTACCCTGGATTCATTCCACGCACACTCCCTGGGGAGTATTCCTACAAAATGGTCACCGTGAGTACATATGGCAATCTCTATCACAAAGGCGTTCATCACTATACCAGGGGGGTGTTTCACAAAGATCCTAAGTTGAACTTATCTCTAAGTTGGACTTAACAATTATGGAAAGCCATTAGCATCTATGGAAATATTTCGTAAAATTTATTTTAAAAGCCATTAAAATGTTGATTGAAATCATTCATATTTTCTTTTATCAAGGAGATTTCATGTTCTTGATGTGGAATTTATACAAAGTCTACAATTCTTGAATTTTTGCTTTTTAATTTATTTTATTTTAGGGGTACAAATGGCTCTCCATAATTTTTAAGTCCAACTTAGAGTTAAGTTTGACTTAGGATCTTTGTGAAACACCCCCCAGGTCCCCTTTTCTCTCCTGGGTATGGAGTGGCAGATGTAGATTAGTTCCCTGCCAAAGGACAAAAGTGTCATGTCGGAATCAAACCCACTGCTTTTAAAGGGACTATGTCCCATTTGCAGGCCAAAAAAATGAAAAAGTTAAATTCCAACTGCATTTGAAAGATAATACTAATTTAGAACTTCACTAAAAAAGGTGGGGCTTGAAAATGTCTTCAAGTGGGAAAATAACAACTATTAGTTGTCAAATCGACTTTAGGGCTATAGAGCCCAAAAGTGATAGTCTTGATTTTCAGACATTTGTACCGAATGGTCATACGTTTTATGCTGCGCAAAGATTCAATCAGTTTAATCTTGGCCATCACAAGAAGTGGGTTATTGATGTAGACAAATGCTCGTGTACCCTTTACAACTCTTTTCATGTATGTTATTACCAAAGAAGAAAAAAGACAGTCAGTCACTCAATAGTGTCTGACAGTGAAGTCTAGCAAGTAAACGGGTTTCCTTGCATAATTTGAATATGAGGACACTGCTAACGTTTAAATTTCACAGATAGGACATACATGACATATTCATAATTCCTGCAAAGTTCTACAGAATTTGAGGTTCGCTGCAAAAGGGACATAGTACCTTTAAGCATTTAAAATGTTTACAATTTTGAAACACCATCATCAACCAGTTTCTTCAGATAGGATACAAATCTAAAGAAATGAGAGATGAATAAGTTAAAGGGGCTAGTAGACACATACTCTCTATTTGAGGTCATTGACATATGACACGTATTGCCCCTTGTTTTTACAGGATGTGCCAACCTGGCAAACACATAATGCAAATTGACATGAAGACGATTACTTTCTATGCGTCATATCATAATACTACATGGAGCCACGTTCATACTTGAAAACAATTCCTCTGATGCATCAAGCTTTGTTCACACGTTGGGTGGCAAAGTGCCTCAATAAATATATGAATAGCGGCAAATTTTGCATATTTACTGCATGTGTGAACAAAGCTTTAAAGGTATAGACCAGTTTTGAAAACGCCCCCCCCCCCCCTCTCAAGTAATAAAATGGAAGCTCTTATTACCAATCATGTTAAAGAATATATTTTGACTAAATACGTGATACAAATTTTGCCGGGAAACCGCCTACTAATTGATATATTTCGTAAATTATTATATCTATCTGGACAAAATAGATATCGCACACGTGTCGCGTAGTCCCATAAACATCTTTGTGTGTACAGTGCTTGTAACTTTACCAAGACTGGGCCAAATTTCTTATCATTTTGATGATTCCAGAACCTTGCAGTACACACCAAAAACTAATCACCTGTACATACGACATCATTCATACACAGAAATTTCGGTGCGATCGTTAATCGTTTCGTGATTAACTACATGTACTGCTCGTAAAATGCGCAGTAGTGCCATATTGCGCATTGAAGGTCATGTCATATCAATCAAAGCGCACGCTCCATCCAGTTTAAACACGTTTAAACACGAATAACCTTTCACAAACAAAATGTCAAGCTCTCTAGATACGAACTTCGTATCTGCAGCCTGCTTTTAGGGGCGTATGAATCGCGACTTCGTATCTATCCCAACATCATATAAACAATGTTCACACAGGGAAAATTTTCTATAAACATGTTTTAAACTGTTGAGTTAAACACGTTTATACTAATCATCTCTAGATACGATGAATTTTAGCTGTGTGTGTGAAAAGGCTGTAGGTAGCATGCCTAAAATAGATGGACTTGAAATAATTTCTCTAAAATCTAAGTGATGATTATTGGCACTCAATATTAGCACCTTACGGAAGAGAAAAAAAATCATGCTACTACTCATCGCTTCCTTCCTCCTACATTAACCCCCCCCCTCCTTATATGCACTTTATATCCATCCTAAGTCATATGGTAACAAGAAAATCAAATTCACATTTATTCATTGACAGCCATCTTCAACAAATAATGTAATTGGATGTACACATACTACTTTCCATATAAGAATGCTCATCAATAATTCAGCACAATCATTGGTCTATTTATCTATCAACTGACAAAACACAGCTATCATTAGTCAACTTATTCTTTAGAAGTGACGCCTCGCTTCACCGGGTTTTAGGAATTTCCATAGACACAGAAGGTCACGAAAGACTGACGATGCGCATTCATGAGAAAGGACGTGAGAATCATCTTCGATTGTAGAATGGTTGAAAATAAACATGGCTGTCAATGAACCAAAATTCCTTTTCTTTATCTTTTGAAAGGGGAGAAGGACAGACAACAAAGGGGAGAAGGACAAACGACAAAACAGAAATGTCATTCACATAGTTTTCAATGTGTTGTGATAATAGTCACATTTGTATAGCGCTTTATACTACGTTTCACCCTACATGTATGTTACATTGTAATTATCAGACATATGTGGTATTTTGTCCTTATGCTTTGATGTATATTGATCTAGGAGTTTTGTATTACCTTCTTGAACTTTTATGCATAAAAGTAATGTGAACAAATTAGTTACAGTGATCACTATTGTCCACCATCATAACCTTTATGTAACACTTTCAGAGGCACAGACAGTTCTCCTGCACAAATTCTGCAATTGTTTGAGGGCTAAATGGGGCCCGTACTTTTTCTTCTTATAAAGGCATACAAATTTTTAAGTTTATAGCCATGGAGCACCGTTTTTACACTGATAAATATTATCAACATGAACCTTGATTTTAAAAATGATAATATAAAATCTTATTTTATAATACACGCATGTGAACTTGATGGTAACAAGGGATGAACATCCTTTCCCTCTCTCCACGAAATCGATAACCTTAAAGGTAATACAAAGTTTTGGTATGGGGTCATGAATTTGGTTCAAATGAACATATTGGAAACATATGCGATCCTACAATTTTAGTAATCATTGTCGCAGTTGAAATCGAGTCTAAAGTTATGAAATTGTAAATAATAAACTCTTTATGTTGTATAGCTCCCTCTCAAAGTCAAGATATTAATAAAGCTATAAAACATTGTTTCTTGACTAAAATCGGCCGATAAGCTATTCCCGTTTGGAATTTATAGATCACAACTACATATTCTGTGAGATTTTCATGGTCACAGCTTCCATAGTACGGCCGTAGGCGCTATTGTTATATTCAATTTTTCTCGAAAGCAGAAGTGTTTTAGGGGCGCAATTTTCTGGTGCTTAAATCCACAGGGGCATCCAAATATATCAAAATTGTAAAGAATCACTATCCACCCCATTTTCAAAATTTCCCAAAACTTTGTATTACCTTTAATATCTTTGTGCAAACATTCTCCTGAATCTTCCCCTCCCCTCATGTTGTTAAAGTCTTTGTAACTGTATAACCCATTATCATGTGTGCTTCTAAAGCGCTTCATATTGTCCCAAGGGTTCTAATGATTTTTTAGAAGATTGTGTCAAAAACTTGCAGACACCTGCAAGGATGATGGAACATACATGTATAATCTAAAACCCTGTTTAACTCTTCGATTGCCTTCTTTGCCTCTCTGCACAGTCACTTATTTTCCACATGTTCAAGTTTGCACAAAACAATAGGCACCAACTGACGGAAGGATTGCAAAATTACCTATTTCCAGTCTTGATTACCTCCAAGACAACATTTTTTTAACACCCAAATAGATTAATCTTGCAATGAAAACAGTTCAAGAACCTTGAAGCTTTTTATACATCTATCCCATGATACAATGTGGCACAATGAGATTGTTTGTGTGGCATATAAAGATTAAAGAAGAAAATACATAAAAACAGTGTCTACTCGATGATGAAGCTCACGGCAAAGAAAAATATCCCTAGAGCTTGTTTCTTGAAAACATCTGCATAGAAACACTTACCAGGGTAAAACCCCTGTTTCTAATTTTTAACAGCAAAAATATTTGGTATCATGGCAAAGACGACTATTCCTAGAGCCCAGGTTTCTTGAAAACATCTGCATAGAAACACTTACCAGGGTAAATCCTGTTTCAAATTTTTAACAGCAAAAATATTTGGTATCATGTAGTTTGTCTTTTACCTGGGTAATCTAATTATTTGATTGACGAATTCTTGAACAGCCTTTTACAAGGGTACAGTTATTATAAAGTTTGGAAATTATTTTCACAAGTACCTGCTTTCCAATCAATTATTATTGATCAGAGAAAAGGATGGAGAGAGAGAGACTTGATTCATGGTTTATTCATACTACTCATGGGAGCACTTAACGATGTCAGTATAAAATGGCCCAAGACGAGCACTGGCGTTACTGCAGGGCAGTGAATTTGTAGGAAGGACTAGTAGGGAAGATAGATTGCCATCATCTCCTTCTTTTACCCTCCTTTTCTTCTTCATCACTACATTCATTACCATCACCAACATCATTATCATCATGATCATCACTATTAAAGTCTACCGCAAGTTATCATCACAATCATCAACATCATCAAC